CCTCAACCCCACTAGTGCGGTTTACTATCTGCCAACATAGAAAGATATTACGGAATCATTGACTGTATTCCTTCCTCCATGCTGTATTACTAACCCCATGGCCAACTTATATTATGTTAAATCATAATTTAAAAAAAAATTTTATTTGGATAGTCTTCTTAATGGTTTTCCAATAGCCCTTCAGCTAGCACTGAGACACTTTTTAATAAAAGTGCAGGACCCATTGCAAATAACGTTTATTTGCTTGTGTTGTGGTATACACTAAATACCCTATTAAATGGTTTCTTCATATCTTGTTTTTTAAAGCTATCATTTTTTTCAAAAGTATCTTAAATATGTAGAGTTAATTTAAAGGGTAAAAGTTCTATCTGAGGATCTGTGTCAATAATTTTAACTCTAGTTTTTTTTTCAGCTAGATTACTCCTAAACATGCAGTAAAGATTAGCTGGCTATAATGTCAATGTAACAATGAGGGACAAAAATTGAAGACTTTATAAAAGAGAAATTGAATATTATTTCAGAGTAATTGGTAATTGAAAAACTTGAATAGAAAGATAAACATACGTGTCTCAGCTTTTTCTATGAAATGATGACTGATGAAATTATTGTGTTTTAGTTTTTGCAAGTGATAACCTTATCAATTTGTTAATGTTTCTGAGTGTGCAAGTCCACTAAATATATTAGATAAAATATTTGTGGGTAAAAGTCAACATATGGTAGATATTTTTCTGCTGTACTTTTCAAAATTAAGAACATCTGTATAGGGAGTTATGTAGGAGTAAAGCAAATGAGACTTTGTGCTTTCTATGTTTATAAAAGATGTTTAATATGAAAAATAGATAAGAAATACAAGTTGTCTTAAGTGGCTACATTTTGATGTGTTGCCTCTTCATGCCTCTTTAAAACTTAATGTAAAATTATTTAAATAAGACCAAGGTTTTAATATTTGCTTTGAAATAAAAAGTTATCACAACGACAGCAAACAATATAAAAAAGAAGAAGAAATACCGCTATTCTTTAGAGTGGAATTGTTAAAGTTTCATCATTTGTCTTCCATCTCCAGTGATTTTTTAAATTTATAGTAAGATACTGCTAATCATTTACTCTAGTCAGAAAGAACTGCTTCTGTTACTTCCAGACAGATGGTATATTTTTCTATTTAGTACCAGTTTATGCCTTAAAGACTAATTTAAGTAAAGTGACAGTGTCACATAAGTTTGATTCTTTCAACTCCATAATTTTTGTTTTCATTTTATTATGTAACCATAACAGGCTTCTCAATTTAGCACTACTGACATTTGGGGCCAAGTAACTCTTTGTTACGGGAGGCTCCTCAGTGCACCGTGGATTGCTCAGGGGTGTCTCTGGGCTCTCCCCATGAGATTCCAGTATCGCTAACCGGCCATGACAAACAGTGGCTCTAGACATTGCCAGGTGTTCCCACGGTGGCAAAATTGCCTCCAGTTGAGAATCACTGTGTAGAGTATTTACTAAAATTCTTATCATGTTTTTCAGGAGCACAATTTGGAATAAAACAGTGTACCATTAGTAGCTAGGCACAAAATCAATAGAATCGAAAAGCTGCTAAGCAGTATTTTGGATAGTTTAGCATAAATGAGAAGGTCAGAAACAATAACTACATCTCTTAATCAAAGACTAGATTGTTTAGGTAATTAGTATAGAACAAACCACTGCAAACATTTCAGTGAGTGCCACACAGGGAAATAAAATCTGTAGTTAATAGCTACAAATGTCATTTAGCTGATTTTTCTTTAATCATTGTGTTTAAATGCAAAGCAGCAGGATCTGCAGATATTAAAGGACACACGAAGGTCCTTGTTCTATTTTGTGTTACCCCCAAATCATAGTAATTTTCCATGGCATGCTGGAATAAAAATGTGTTTCAGTCCTTTTGTGATTATGTCCACATCAGGTGATGCCCAGTGGCCTGCTGGGAATGTCATTAATCTAACTTCCTCTCCAAAATGTTTGGCATTCTGTATCATGATGTGCACTCAGTGAGCAAGCCAGTTCACAGGGTGTTTTTCAGTTTTAACATATGCCAGAGAAAATGGGGAAATGTAGCTATTTGAGAGATAAAGAAAAGAAAAATGAATTCAAATTGTATTGAATTGGATATACAGAAGGGAGAAATATACAAAAGCCTGAGCTGCCAACATCTATTAAGCTTAATATGCATTTGAAAGCATTTTATGGTAGAATATTGAACATATGTACAAAAGTCCAAAAAGAAAGTATTGATGAAGAGTCCAAAGGACAGTTGACATCACTAGACTTCTCGAAGTGGTTTCAAGAAGAAGGTAAGACAGGAGGACTAAATCCTGAATGCTGGGAAAGAACCCTATTCACCAGGTCTGTGTTTTCTTTTACTCTCTGACTTATACCTGCTGCAGAGCAAGGCAGGGAGAGTGAAAAAGAAAATATAGTATAAGGTCTTCCCTGATTCTTCTACTAAAATTAAGTGAGCTAGTCTTGTTTTAAAACCCTGTCTCAAAAAATCATGTAAAATGTTAATGTAAGATTGGACTTCCTAAAGCAAAATCATGCCATTCTGTGGTCCTTCAAGTCCTTTTAACTTTTTAAGGGTACTTGTATGGTAGATTTATAATTCATTTGTCCCTCTAACTGGAGATGTTATAAAAGGGCTAAGACAGTACCTGGCACATAGTAGACAGTCAATAAACAGTTGCTGAATGAATCTATGGGAAGGCAGCGTCTTGGTGTGGAAGTATGTATGCCTTTTTGTACAATATAAGACATTTTAAATCAGTAGAGAAAAATATATATAAAGGAAGGCATGTACCCATCACCCAGCTCAAACAATTATCAACTCATAGCCAGTCTTTTTTCAACTATACCCCACCTACTTTTCCCTTCCCATATTATTTTGAAGCAAATTCCAGATATCATATCATTTCATTCATTAAGATTTCAATATCTATCTCTAAAAGATTAGGACTTTTCTCTTTAAACATTACATTATCACACCTGAAAATTTTAAATAATTCCTTAATAACATCAGCTATCCTGTCAGTCTTCAAATTTTCAATTGTCTCATAAAGGCTTTTTTTTTTACAGTTTTTCATTTGAATTAGGACCCAAAAAACATCCACAAATTGTGTTTTTTGATATATTTCTTAAATTTTTTTCAATCTTTAGTGTTCCCCATCTTCTCTATTTTCTCCCACGTAATTTATGTGTTGAATGTTTCCCACAGCCTGGAATTTGCTGATTATATCCTAGTAGTGTCACTTACTTAAGAGTCACTTATAGTCCTCTGTCGCCCGTATTTCCTGTAAACTGATAGTTGGAGCTAAAGGCTTGATCAGATTCAGATTCAGTTTTCTTTTTGGCAAGTCCAAAAAAGAAGGTGGTGTTCAAATCATAGTATTGGTACTTTCATTTTTCTCTCAGTGCCCTGAAAATTGATTTAGCTAACATTTGTTGAGTATTTTCTGTGTGTCTAGCAATGTGCTTATGTTCTATAGGCATTATGTCATTTAATCATATTTAAGTTAAGTTTCATAATACTAGCACATACCAATTTCTGTCTGATGACTAGGCCTCTTATTAGGGCCAAGTAATCTTAAATATCTTTCAAGCAAACCCTTTGTTACATACCCCATCTTTTTTTATGTCATTTAATTTGGAATTCTGTCTGGATTTTCTTTTTACTGGATTCATTTAGAGTCATAAAAAGTAACTTGCATTAGAGGGTTTTATTTATATTTTAATAATGAAGTTCAAAGACCTCTCATTTAACTGAATTTGTTGTATTCAGGCTTCTTGCTACTAGGATTCACCATCTGTTAACCTCACAAAGACAGATACCTAAACCACAAATAGGGCTAACAGAACTCAGTACTTCCTGCATCTCGTTTTCATCTGCACTCATTGTCTTCTGCAGGTGCACTTAGGTCTCGTTCATCTCTTCCTGCTTTCTTTGCATGCTCACAGTGCTCACAGTATCCTACTGTTGCCCAGTGTGAGAAACTGGCTTGTGATTGTAAAAGCAAATGTAGCTTTTCATTGTTTGTTTACATATCTTTAATCTGTTCTGCTTAATTCTCTCCATAGTCCTAAATTCTACTGTTAATAAAACCAGGCCAGTAGCTCCAGACTTAAAAAATAGATGTCAGATTATCTTAACCAGCTGACACTTTTGCAGATCACACTGTTTGACAGGTGGTTGATGGAGAGAAGGCACCAACCTGCCCAAGTTGCAGTTAGACACCAGAGCACTGGGAGCAAAACGACGCAGAGAAGATCCTCTTGTGCTGCTTTACAAGATGACATACAGGAGTGATTTTTTCTTTATGTATCTTAATTGTTCTTTAATCATTTCTCCTTTAATAGTTGTAATGTTCTCAAATTTCCAGAATATCTATTAGGTGAAGCATCCGGCTTACTGACTAGAAGGAACATGAAACCTTGGTGACTACAACCGAGAAACAGGAATGAATGGGACATTTAATTTCTTACATAGAACGTCACTATGAGGCATTAGACAAATAGCCAAATTCTCTGTTCTTATTCATTAAAAACAATATTATTTTATCTTAAAAAAATGATTATCCATAAAGAACTTTAAGATTCTTAGTTGAAGCAGTCTTCTACAAGCTTGTAGTCAAAGGGAATTCTGTCTCTGTTGCCCTGATCTTGCAGGTTGCCCAGGGTAGCATGGTGCACGTGTTTGTGCTTTTAATAAGTAGCTCTCCATGCTGGTGGTATTTGAAAGGTCATACATTTTAAAGGGTATTTTGTTCCCTTTTTCCTTGGCAGGACTAAGGAGCTTCCTTTTCTAAGACCAGTGCTGTTTGGACTCAGTGAAAGTACACTTTGTTCTAGGAGAATTGCCATATGAAAGCCTAGAATATATATTGAGTTCATCCAAGAAGGGGGAAAAATCAGTTCTAGGGACAGTGAAGGCTTACTTGGTGCTGAATGAATGACTGTTGTATGATTTTTTTTACTCACAGGCTCGCTTCTCATATGTGCGGATGAAATATCTTTTCTTTTCCTGGTTGGCAGTTTTTGTTGGAAGCTGGATTATATATGTGCAATACTCTACCTATACAGAACTATGCAGAGGAAAAGACTGTAAGAAAATAATAGTAAGTATTTTTTTAATTTCCTAATATATGGAAAAACCCATATTAACAGGTTATATTTTAAATATATTATATTTACTCCTTATATACATACTAATAATTATTTTCAAAAAGTAAAAGTTAATTTGACCTTAGAGTTGTGTTGAACTTCATAGCAGTCTCATATGACCAAGTTAATAAGAGTGTTCTCCAGCTTGAATAATCCAAAATTCAGAAATATTAATATATAATAAAATGTGAGGACATCCTCATTATAAAGAGGGATTTTTGTTCTTCAGATATGCTTGAAATTTAGTTTATTCCAATCAGATGGGTTTTTAAATATTTGAGTATAAAAGTGTTATTTACAGGCAACCTTTCTGGAACACATCTTTTTAAAAAACAGGATCATTCTCAAATACCCAAAATTTATCTGGAAAACATATAAGTGTATTTATTACTCTGTTCCTATCCTGATGATTGGATGTATTTCAGGAAAATTTCTGTATCAGTCTAAGATTTCCAGTAGTAATTATTGGCTCCATTAGCACTTATCTTTTAAATGTCTGAGGATCAGTAAATTTCATTTCTTGTTTTCTGTTAATATCTTCTGATATAAATAATATTAAAGTATTTCATCTGAGAATTGTGATTTTGATAATAGGATTGTTAGGATCCCAATTATTATAACTTATTAAAGATTCTGTAATTATTGAGTGGTTACTCTTCACCCAGACTGGTGTTGCTAGATGTGTGCATATAGCAGGGAACAAGATTATCATGACCATACAAACCTACTACCTAGCAGGGAAGAAAATGAATAATTACAGTTAAGTAAGGTTAATGTTACAATAGCACTGTTATAAGAACATAAGACAGAGAGACCTGAAGCTTTCCAAATTTTAAGAAATGAAAATCAATTGAACTCTAGGCACTCTGTCATGATTAAAAAATATATTTTCCAGGAGTATTACAGCCTCTTAAGTAGACAAGGGAGGAATTACTAATACAATAAACAGGGGAATAGTAGAGTCTCAAATCAAGGTTCAAAGATGTCAATCTTATGTCCATACCAATTGGCCATTCCAGATCCTTGAGCAATTTTTAGATAGGAGAAATGTCTGGGCCCAGACAATGCACTGTGTACTGAATACTGGTCATTAAGACTTGAAAAAGCCCCCCAAACCCACTTTACAAATAAATATGACAAAGGGAGAGAAAAATTTGTCTGTGTTGGTGGAGCCAGGAATTGATCCTAATTCTGTTTTTGTATAAAGCTTATACTCTTTCTGCTACCCTGTGTCAGAAGAGACTGACAAAAGTAGCTATAGTTTAATAAAGCTAACAAAAAAGCCCACAAATGCACATGCTTATACTCTCAGGAAGAAGAAAGAATGAGGAATAATACAATCAACTACAATAACATAAATAACCAAACTATTTGAAATGTTTATTTCCCTTTTTGGAGGGCACTGTTCTAAAAGTAGGTGCTTTGGGGCACATTAAAAGGTGTTCATGGATAAAAATTTTCATATTCAGATATATTTGGAAACAGAGAGCTTAACAAGATAAATAGCTGACTTTACTGAAGTCTTCTTAGAACCTTTAATATATTAATGTGCATTGTGCATCTCCAGAGAAAGCAAATATACTTGATTAGGAAAAAAATTCATCCCCATCAGAATCCTCCCAGGAAAACCTGTTGAGATCATCTGGTGATGTTTGAAATACTGCTCTAAGAGATTAAGGCAAAATGAAGTGGATTTGCTTGTATCTTGTATTAATATAATAACCTCTACAATGTAAGGCATATGTTAGTATATATTCTGTCATAAGTGAATAATAGTTGAAGTACTTCATTATTTTTCCTTTAATTTCACCTTATTTTATAAGAAATGGAAGTAGAACATGATTCTAGCATAATTTAATGGTTATCTTTCTTTTGAAATCAATGAAAAAGTTTTCTGAGCCTTATATATATCTTCTTCCTGAGGCTGGTTTTAAAAAACAAAATTGTGGTTTCTCTGTATGTGGGAAATATTTCCTTAAAACTTGCCCAAACTGGTAGTACTAAGATTGGTGGAACTAAGATAGTACTAATATTGCATAGGAATTGTGTGATTAGAACTAAACAACAAGCAGGAAAAAATTTTTAAGTATATATTAAAACTCAAAGGGCTACTGAGATAGTGAGGAAATGTGATCAAGATCTGGAAGAGGATAAGATTTGAGAGAGGTGAACCTAGATTTTCTGGCTGCATTTACCTGGAGATATATTAACTGAAATCCACAGTTTTATGGGTCTAGGAAGATTGAAAATGTAGTCCAGCTCCTACCATTGGTGGGACCTTGGTACACCACACTTGGGGCTGTGACTCTTTAAAGGGCTGAACCTCAAGAGTACTGGTGAACTAAAGGAACCTCAGAGAAGTGTCCTTTTGTAGCCTCTTTTTTCCCTTGGGGAATTTACTGATAGTGATCATGAGCAGGGGTCTGAGAACCAGGACTATATACTGGTAGAGAGCTGCTGCTGGGGACAAGAAACCAGCAAGCTTTTGTAAAAACTAAGCATACAAGCCAGTTATCCTGTTGGGATATTTGCCAAATCCTGTGCTTTACAAAATGGGAGTCTAAAAATCTCATTGCAAAGACTTTGAAAAGCAGAGCAGACATTTTGGCAGTCTCACAAGATACAGACTAGAGTTATGAACCTGCCAGAGGGAGAAACCCTAATGAATTCTCAGGCTTTTTGTTAAAAAACTAGACAGTTTTGCTCTTGGAATGGGGATGAGCCAAAAATAGCTTGAGCTTTACCAGAGCTCAACCCAGTCTCCACTCAGCACAGCCCTTGATTGGGTTAAGGAGATCAGTTACTAGTATATCTGCTTGCTCAAGGGAAGGAAAACCTGCTCTGGATACATTATGTAAGAATTAAAGGGCATGCCAAAAGCCAAGATGTCACAACCAAAAACCAAGAGATAAACATGGACAATAGAAGCAGATCCATAGATGATCCAGATATTGGAATCATCCAAAAAGAATTTTAAAATAACTATGTTCATGTTCAAGTAAATAGGAAGAAAGGTAGAGAAATAAAACAATTGGATGATTTCAATAGAGAATTGAAATGTATTAAAAAGAATCAGGAAGAAAGTACGGCAGTTGCTCAGATAGTTAAATACAGAAATAGGCAAAAGGTGGAAACAACTCTAAAATCAATTAACAGACGAATGCATAAACAAAATGTGGTACATACATGCAATGGACTATTATTCAACCTTTAAAAAGAATGAAATTCAGATGCATGCTACAACTTGGATGAACCTTGAAAACATTATGCTAAATGATATAAACCAGAACCAAAGGACAAATATTGTATGCTACCACTTAAATGAGGTACCTAGAAAAATAATTACATAAAAATTGGGAAAAGGGTAAAGGAAGTTAAAAAGTTAAGATCCTTATATGGCAGAGTAGGATAAAAGTATCAGTTAACTTTAGACTGTGAATTCAAGTATGAATATTGTTATTTCTATGATAGCCTTTGGAATAGAAAAAGAGTGTATCATTTCCAAACTAATATAGGAAAAATGGAATAATTAAAGAATACTCAGTCCTAAGGAAGGCAAGAAAAGGAAAGAAAAAGAAACCTATTAGGCAAAGTAGAAAACTCATTATAAGATGATAGATATGACAAACTGAGCTCCCTAGGAAACAGACTCAGAGACTGAGATTTGCTTGCAGGATTTTTATTGGGATGGTGTTTGGGATTAATATCTGTGGGTGAGCGAGGAAGCAGGGGAGACCAGTGATTAAACTTGTACAGTGGTAACAAAGTCCTCAGTCCATTCTACAGGGAACTCTCGCACTGAGATGGCCTTATAGAGGTCCAGGGCATTACATACGCTCACTGGCCAGTCACTGGAAACAGTTTTCCACTCTCTCCCACACATCTCCTGGGGAACATAAATCTTGGATAAAGCTATATTCTGGATGAGGGCAAGTCCCAAAGAAGGATTCATCTGAGAGCTGCTCACTGTCTATATGACCAGCAGCTGAAAGAATGAGTGCTTCAGTTCTGGAGGAGATAAGAGTGGTTTACCATGGCATTGACTGTAGTATATTTAAACCTAAATAAATTAAATTAAATATAAATAGATCAAATGCTTCATCTAAAAGATAAGGATTGTCAGATTGTATTAAAATTAAAATGAAAACAACTGTGTTTACAAGAGACACATCTAAAATGTAAAGGTGAAGATAGATTGAAAGTAAAAGAATAGGAAAATATTCATGCAAACATGCAAATTCAAAAAAGGGATGTTTAGAGAAAAAACCATGGCTATATTTATTCATATAAGTTTTATATTACACAGACTATACCTCTCTTTTAAAGTCTGAATCAGCCCTTACTAGCTTGAACTATAATACCTTTTAAGTTTGTTACTTCCATGCTTCAGTTTTGCAGTATTTGCCTAAGTAATTGTCTGGCCTTTTCCTAAATTATGGCAATATTCATGCATACTTTTTCTGGTAATTTCTTGGTTATTCCTGCTTTGAAGTGTGGAACCTAAATGGATTGTCTCTCTCTCTGTATATTACTGTGTAGACTGTTCTCTTTTTAAGTAGACTGAACTGAACCAGATTATATGATAAGTTAGCTGATTTTCATTTTGGGATATAAAAATATAAAACTGCATTATCTCAAAATCATATTTAGCAAAAATATGCTTGCCAAAAATTTACAGTATCCTGTGTGTAAATTCTGAACAGATTTCCTTCATTGTCTTGTCAGTTTCATCTTTGTGAACTAAGAAAGATTTTTCATCTTTGTGAACTAAAGAGACACAGAAGAGCCAAAAGAAGCACTACACATATTATTTGTCAAGGTTTAACAATGTGTGTTCATTTCTTCCATTTGGAAACTGGCAGTTTGGCTTTTAACTTTCCTCTAGTTCTTTTTTTCTTATTTTTAATCATTTAATATTTATTTCCAGGATAATTATTTTCACATAGCAGTCATA